ACAACTACAAATGTAAGATCCAAGTAGTGATAAACTGAAATTAGCCTTTAAGGGTGGTGTTTCCATAAGGAGGCAGCTTTGCTTCGACACGCTAACTTTTCTTGTACTTTTCCCAGAGATTATTTAGTACATCTACTGTCCTTGCCAAAAAAAGTTATGCTGCAATTTTATCTGACACACAAACGCACAAGCGTGCGATGCAGTAACAGTAGTTTCACAACACAAAGCACCGGTGGGAGTGCTGGAATATGAGGGCATCCTTATATCACACACACACACACACACTGTGCTCACTATACCAGCGAAGCTCTCAGGTTGTTTTCTTTTAGTGTCTCAAGGTGTGTGAGTTGACACATCAGCACTCCTGTTTATCAAAGCTTTTATCACCTCTCCACCGCTATGTCACCTTCGGGGAGGAAGCAGGAGGTGCCCACTCACACACACACTCACACACACACTCACACACACACACACACACACACACAAACACCTGCAGGGGCTAGCGGCGGGGGTTGAGAGAGGAGGGGGAGTGTTGTTGACCTGCCGTGCTGATGTGAATGACTTAACCAGATACAGGATCCGTCCCAGACTACACAGGTTAACTACCAGCATGTGTTCCCCTCGCCCGGCAGATTTCATCTGGATAAGTCAAAAACACACTCTGTGGGAAAATCCTGACTTGTGATTTACGTACGATTTTCCTCATAACTCTCTGAAAAATATGTAAATAAAAAATCCGAGCTCAAAAGGAACCAAATGTGTGAAATTAATATGGGAGCTATTTTAACAAGAGACCGTCCTTATAATCTACTTTGCTGAACGCAAGGCTTGAAGTCTACATGATGTGGCTGTTAGAGAAATAGACACTCTTGTTCTGTCTCGCCTGGTCCTGATTTACTTCTCCCAACTTTTCCCAGGACCGTAACCATATTTCTTCTATCCGTGTCATCCAGACTGGTTCTTACTAACTCCCAAAACCACTTCAATCTCGTGTTTCAACCCAGTGATCCTGAAAAAAGTCTTTAACATGATCCGCAATGCTTTTAAAATTTATAGAGATCATGTAGACGAGCCTTCATCGGCCTGTCTCGCCAGCACTGAAGTCCTGAATGTGAAAACAGTAGATTTTCTGAAGGATGAAAAAAGTGTTGTGTGTAAATTCCTCCCAAATTCTCTCCCTGACGAAATTCTAAAGATGAAATCTAAGGGGGAAAAAAACACTCATTTTTCCAGCAAAGTGTCTTTTATGAACTTTTTTCGCAAATCTATAACTAAACTAAATTTAAACATCAGATTCAGCATTTGCAAATTTAACTTCTTGACATGAAAAAAGTTGAAAAAGGTTGAATAAATATAAACATTTAATCCAAAGTGGATGGGCAGACCTTAAACTAAAGGTCTCGAAAGAATTAAATTTAACCAAAAGTTAAACATCTACAGCTCCATGGCAACTGGGCAGACTCGACTAAGTAAGACTGCGTAACACTTTCCAACTTTTTATCACATGACATAATAATGTAAATATTTGCAGACCAGGAAAATGGCTCCTGTAACTTTAAAGACATGTTATCAGCTGACACCAATCACACTAACGTGAACAATAAAATATCATACGACATTTGACTAACTGTGATTCTGTAAAATACTTGAGCCAATCATTAACAAGGTGGAGGGACTTCCAAAGCGTAAAAGTTTTACTGGATAGAGGAAAGTGGACTGTTGTGAGTTTTGACTCTGGATTTTAATTTAGACTTGAGGACAGTTTGTGAACATTTTTTAGTAGTATTTATTTTAGTTTCATATTTATTGAATGAGTACTCATTGTCTGTCTCTAATTTGTCTTATTACTTGCATTAATTGCACTGACCAGGAGTAGCATTTTATTCAAACTACAGGAGTCAAACAAAATATTTGTACAGATCTCTGGTTGAAATGCTACTTTACTATGTAAGATGTACTGGGAGCTATCAGTTTAGTCTGTCAGTCTTTTGTCCGGAGGTGTGGACTTGAGTCAGATGATTTGGACTTGAGTCAGACTGGAGTCACAACTTTGATGACTCCCGCCTCGACTTGACAAAATCAAAAATTGCAACTCAACTTGGACACCAGTAACTGTACTAACTGTACTTGGACTTTAGCCTTTTGACTTGAAAATACTTGATACTTTCCCTAGAGCCCAAAGATGAAATAGTAATGTTCTTTAATCTGTGTGCCACAGATAAATTCATTTGCCTTCACTTCCTAATTTAATTGACGTTAACACTGCTCATTCCCAGCAATTCGCCATTAAGTTCCACAGATCTTTAGTTGAATCAATCTGACAGCATCCAGTCAAGTTGCAGGAGAGAATCATGAAGAACTAACATTATGATACTGAGCACCGGGTGGAAAAATAAGATACCAAAGGTAATCTTGTTTGTGCACTACAGTGTGGTCAACAAAAAAACCAATTGTAAAAACCAACTGTAAAAACCAATTGTAAAACGTGCGGGTTGAAAATTACAAACAGAGACGCAACAACTTCCAGATGACTTGTGTAGGACTCAAAACTCAAAGTTTGGGACTCAAGACCTATCAGTCTTGGCTCAGGATTTGAATGCAAAGACTTCAGACTTAGTTGTGACTTGCAAAGCAATGACTTGGTCCCAACTCTGCCGTCAACCGAACATTTACTTTCGTCCTGCATGTTTCTGCGTATATGACGTCAGCTTGGCAAATTGTGAACCAAAAGTTTTTGCCCACTTTCCAAGTTGTTTTTCTGACTTGAGGGGGCGTTCACGTAAATTTTCCCAGTCGGAAACTTAGTTTTATGATCATTCAGACACCACATGATTGCAGGAAAATTCGCATGTGTCTTGTACCACCGATACCTGTGAGAACAAAACCTTGTGGGACTGATTCATGCTAAAAATTACTTTCTTGTACATTTTTCATAAACAATGCCTACTCATTACATCAGATCTACTTTGCTCTTCAAAATAGTCCTAACTGATCTCGGCATGTTTTTACAGCCGCGGTTTCATGTGCATCTTTTTAAATCTGTCTCTTTGTATTCACTCTGTTCACAATAGTGTGCATATAATAAGCGGAGTCGTGCAAGATAATATAAGCTTGAGGTGTAACCAATCTCACATTGTCATAAGTGTGTGGGCTACATTAAGGTAAATTACTACATTTTCCATTGTGAAAGGGCTTTTTACGTGTGGGGTCTCCCACAATTCCACATCAGAAAATCTTGTAGGGTTCCCACGTTAATCTACATTTATTAAAAAATTACAGTGCAGGCCGAGAAGCAACAACTTCTAGCTTTGTTCAACGTGTGAGGCTGCACACAGAACGATTAACAGAGTTATTGGGCTAAGCTGGGCTAACGTTATGACTTCCTTGTTGAAAATGGCACTACATTTCGTAAAGAGCACATTATGACTTGTTTGCCACCCGAAGTTTAGGACTTGGGACTAGGGATGTGCCGTATCATCTTGTTCATGATAATACGGGTACAATTTTTAATATGTGAAAAATTCATATCATGATACTGGCTATATTTCGACTTGTTGACAATGGCTTCATACTGTTACCCACGGCAACAACAAACATGGCTGAAAGGGAAATTATTACCAACTCTGCAGTGGTTCCAAAAAGAGGAGCAGCTTCAGTAGTGTGAAATAAACTGTGGCGTCTTGAGTGTTTTATGAACAGCCCCGGACTTCTGAGACTCTTAGCGAGTTACCGCTCAGAGGGAACTCAAGTCAGCGGCTCCTCCGGCAGCAGCACAGCGTCTCTCCCTCTTCTCTTTTGCTGTGCGTGCACAGGAGTCGGTTTCATCAAGCCATATTGTCTTAAACCTTTGGTCATGTAAACTTACGTGACACTTGAGGCTACATATATAGTTTTTTATGAATATTTGAAGGCAAACTGTAAAATTACATCACTTATTTTGTTACAATTTTATGTTCTTGAATTGACGAATTGATCGACTTAACTTGGGAGTTGTCAGTCTTGACCTAGGACTTGACTCCAAATCTGACTGTCTTGACTTGGGATGTCACTCGAAAGAGTCTTTACACTTGAGTGCAAGGGCTTACTTGCAAAACAATGACTCGGTCCCACCTCTGCTTTTGTCTGACCTTTGCCTGAGGACGTACAGGTGACCTGTGAATCAGCTGACAGGAGCAATAAACCCAGCAAATGCCTCATTTGTGGTTTTCCACAGGAAGAGGTCTGGTGTAAGAGATATTAGCATAAAGGAAATGGAGAACTGATGACTAATAAAAAAGAAACAAGTGCAGAAGAGGCCACACCATAAAAACCCAACCATCCACTCCACTTTTTATCCAGTGTACTGGTTTCATCGCCGCTCTCCAGTCATCCCGCCCCCCGCTCTGTCTCTCTCACCAGCACTCCCCTTCTCTCTGGCTCAGCTGCTCTCCCTCCCCTCCCCTCTCTTCCCGTGGATGGTGTAGCTCCCTCTCTCCCTCTCTCCTTCTCTCTCTCCCTCGCAGTCTGGTGGAGCCGCACACAAGGATTAGAGGGTTGCTGTGAGTGTCTGCTCAAAGAGAAGAAGCCAGAAGACAGAAAGAGATAAAAAAAAAAATCTCCAGGAAAGGATAGCCTCACTATTGTGGATAAGTGATCTGATTTACCTTCACACAGGCTCTACCTCTCATCTCAAGCCTTGCTGAGCCTTCACCTGGGGAGGAAGAACAGATAAGCCAAGGGGACTATATTGCCTGGACCTCCACACGGGGAGCCATGTGAGCGGCACCCCCCTCCACCCACTTCACACTACAGAAGTCCCCCCACAGTCTGCTCTCTGAGCTGGGGAGCACAACCAGGATTTTTCTACCTCCTTCTCTCCCCTGGAACCTCCACTTTAAGGACTCGCGTGGAGGGACTCTCCAGGCTCGGCGGACCCCCAGTGGGAGACACTCATCTATGGGCACTGGTCGGGGGTGTGAGTGCCCCCTGGTCTGGAGGCCAGCCAGCAGCACTCCAGCACCATGGATTACCTGTTTGGGATTGTAGTGCTGCTGTGTGGGGCGGTGCAGCCGGGAAGAGGTGTAGAGCCCAAGCACAACGTACCCAGGCTAAAGCTGTCATACAAGGGTAAGCCTCATTCTCCGTTCTCCCCTGACTCCAGGATATAGTGGTGGTCGCTGGTGCTTTTAACGCAGCTTGTCTGGTCTGTTTTCTTGCCCGTGGGGCGCTCTTTCATGCTCTTCCTTTCATCCATTCTTCCTCACGTTGAGTATCCCTTTTTTCTCTTCTATTTCTGTGAATCTATTTCTGCCTCTGTGTGTCTCTCATTCACTCTTTCTCCCTCTTGGTCAGCACATCTAACTCCCTGCTTAACCTTCCCCTCTCCCATTAACTCACTCCTTCCTCCTCACTCGCTCTGCCTGTCTCTCAGAATTCACTATTCTTCTTACAAATAGTTAGATTGGTTCCATATGCTGAGGAAGGGCTCTTGCCTGGAGTTAAATGTATATATTGGCCCCTGTACCAATTTTCCCCTTGTGCTGTCCCCTTCTGCTAGTACTGTACAGCCCTGTTAAGTGCTCCGAACAGGCAGTGGAGCCTCTGTTTTAATGGCTTCTGTCCCAAAAACTCTGCTTTGGTCATGACACAGAGCCTTTCTTTAAGGGGCCGTGCAGGTTTCACGACTTCTCTGCGTCTCTGTACTGTATCCTAAATGGATCCAACAGTTGTAGAGTTTTATTTCAACGGAAAAACTATACATGCACGTCAATTTAAAGTGCACGTATACAATAATGCATTTGCAGGAGGAGGTTAGAGGGAGAGAACGAGAGGGAGTTTCGCGTGTCTTTTTATATCGTGCACGTGTAAGTTTTTGACGTATACGAGCAAACATGTTATTCTCTCTCCTTCTGTGTTATTTTGAGGGGAGACTGCGGAGCGCCGGTTCTTCCTCTCCTCCTCCTCCTCCTCCTCCCTCTATCTCTCTCCCTCTCTCTCTCTCTCTCTGTCTCGTCTCCTCTCTCACACCCCACACTAAATCAGGCTCTTTGTAATAGCAGACTTTTCATCTCAGCTAGAAATAACTGGCAACATTTTTGGCATATTTTGGGGAAGGTTTTTTTTTTTGTGCGTTTTAATGTCAGCGAGGGAGGCTATTGTGGTTCTTTGTCCTAAAACATGACCGAAAGTATATGGCTGGGAGTGTGGTCTCTCGATTCTTTATTTTAGTCCCCGTTTCTCTCATAAAACATGCCCTCTGAAAATTTATGAACGTGCTGATTTGCCATCGTTCAGCAGCATCCCCCCTCGTGTGTCACCCAAAAGCTTTGGTTCCTCGGATAATTTCAATCTTCGTCGAGGGAAAATTTCAGTCTTGAAGGGGGCCAATGTGATGTTTGTCACTCTAATTCGTTTTCTATCTTTAGCCGAGACGTTTGGTATAACTTATGTTTAGAGGCCTGCTATATGACATGCTTTATTCTTTAGATGGAGTGCAAGTTATAATTTTGGTATAGTATATTTTCCTTCATCAACCTTTCAACTTCTAAGTGTGTACGCCGATTGTTCGGATAAAAAAGCATGTGACTTTTGTATTTTAACATTTAATAAGCTTTCTTTCTTTTCTTTTTTTTTTTTTTTGACGGTGTCCTGATGACGCTATGGTTGACATAAGTGTAGATTTCGCATGGGGCGCAGGACCCCCCTGATTAGAAACATAAAAGTGGCAACGGACTTTAAATTTTGACAAAATTAAAGACATTTACACCATAAACTGATGCAGAAAAGGCTCAAATTGGTGGATAAAAATTCACCAGAACTTCTGATGCTCAAAATTTTCTGGCGAACTACCCCCTTCTTTCATATGTGCCCCCCTCCAACGTTGAAATATAACCTACGCCTTGGTGTTTGGACTCGCTGGCACATCACGATCGAGGACTTTAAAAGGCGATGACATGCATTGACCAAGTGAACACAGTGAATCTGGAAAGAATCAGAGCTGAACTTACCTGCTGCAAGTCATGCATCCCCTGGGCTCCATCATGTCAGTTCACACGAAGCAAAGCCTCTAGGCATGATGGGAAAATGTCATCCCTCCTTTACACAGCCATCTGTTTCAAGAATGCGAATATAGTTCCCTCCTGCCCCCTTTTGTGATCTTCTTCGCTGTTCAGTCTGACAAGCGAACATGTTGCTGACAACAATACTAGACAAGAGATATGTCATCAAGCATCAAAGTCTGCACTGACTCACTGTACGAGTGATGGGTGTGCATCGTCAGACCCAGAGAGCAGGTCTGCGGGGAGGAAGAGTCTCCTGTCATGACAGATGTCCTTTAGTGGATATTATTTTTGCTAAAAGTACATCAAAGCCTTTTGTTTATGTGTATGTGCGTGTGTGAATGTTCTTGCCACGTCTTGGTGTGAGGACTCAACACCCTCTCCTGCGATTTCCTCCCCTTAGACTGCGAGCAGTGTCTCAGTGTGTCGGTTTGCGTGTGTTTTAGCGAAGCAAAAAATGTGTCAGGTCTGGCATGCGCCCACATAATTAGACACCTGGTTTTGTGCGTGTGGCCGCGCACGTACGCATGAGCTCACAAATCGGTATCTTTTATTGTGCTGTTGAATCTTCTGTAATTGTGTGTGATTGCAAACTGCTGTTGGGTTCTGCTGTTGTGCGTGTCATTGTGTGTGTAAAGACATCAGAGTGTATCACGTGCCACAGTCTTTGTGTGTCAGTGCTCGGGCCCACAGGTGTTTGATGGCCCTCTTGATGCCTGTCGGGGGAAGATTCTCGGTTGACACCCACACTGTGGCGGGTGGTGGGAGGAAAAGGGGGGATGGAGGCATGGCGGGGGTGACGGCGGAGGGGAGGAGACTTGCTTTTAATGAAGGAAAAGCTGGCAGACATACAGTAGACGACGCAGAGGGAACGGAGGCCTGGTCGTTAAGCGAAGTGCCACTCATCCCCTCTCCTTCCACGAAGGCGGCATAGTAATTAAGTCAAATAAACGACAAGGAGGAATCCTCCTGGGAAGGACAGTCAAACAAGCGCCGAGCAAAAGAGTACGCCGGGCCCTTGAGTGGGACGATCACACGAGCACAGAGTGAAAGAGAGCCTGAGTGGCAAGAACCAGGAGGGCCTGTGATATGGGGCAGTCAAATCAGCAGCGAGCGTGCGAGCAGGGTCCCATGAAATCACTCTCAAATGAGCGTTGATGACACGCCTCCAGGGACTGATCGTCTTCTGCTGGGAAGGACAGGCGAGCGACTGCAGAGTGAGCAGTTTGAGAGGTAAAAGGACTGAGAAATGGAGGCAGGTAGATAAAATTACCTCTCATGGGACGGCTGGCGCAGCAAGTGCAGAGTAAATGATTTCCCAGTGGGGTCAGTTAGACATCTCTCTCAGCTGAAAGGATCTGGCTTCATGGGGACAGAACCATGATCACAGGAGTTAATGATTTTCTCTTCTCTTTAAGACGAGAATACCTCACACTTTCCTTACCTTGACCGGAGAAAGAGAAAGAAGAAGGTGAAACTCAAGTCCAAGTTAAAATAAGCATGCTTAGCAAAGATGATAGACATACAAATATCATGTCATCAAAGGCTGACTAGAATATCCCTATTGTCATTGTACATGTACGACGAAACTGAATGCAGCCTCCTCAGTGCAAATATAAGTAATAAGAGCCTATAAAAACAATAAAGTAAAGGTAAATCAGTAAACAGTATTCAGGGCCTTCCACCTATTGCACAACTCCCTTATACTACACTCAAACATATCACCATAGTCAAGCCTTTGTGAATTCATTAAGTACAGTTATAGCTTTTTATGACTGATATAAACCAGAGTTGTGTTGTAATATTAAAAAATGGCAACCAGAATTTCTACTGAAAGTGAGTCATTATTACCCAGAATTTACCAGCAAAGCAAAACATATTGTGTCATCATCTTAAACAGTGTTTCTAGGGGTACTAGGGGTACCTAGGGGTACTCCAGAGTACTTCTGGGCGTACATGAGATTTTTTTAAATGTTAGATTAAAGGAACAGTGTGTAGGATTCAGTGGCATCTAGTGGTGAGGACTGTAGATTGCAACCAGCTGAAAAATTGTCCCATGTGCCAAACCTGAGCTCCCGGTTAGAATTTCTTCAGTGTTCTTAGAAACTGAGTTATCCATAGAGGTATCTTCCTCTCCAACACAAATGGACCAGTTGATTAAAAAGGGTGAAACACTGAATAAAGCAGTTTCATGTTGGTGTTTTTCTGATGCTGTTTGGCTACTACAATGGCCAACATGACAACATGAATGGCCCTATCTAGAGCCAGTGTTTAGTTTGTCCGTTCTGGACTACTGTAGAAACATGGTGGTGCAACATAGCAGACTTTGTGGACTAGGATCGGCAACCTCCATAGATGTATATGGCTAATTTTAAGGTAGCAAAAACTCAGCAATTTTTATTTTCAGATAATCATACACTAAAGAAAATGTACTCATCATATTATATTCCATCCCTGCCAAATATCCCCCTAAATCCAACACACTGGACCTTTAAAAAATGTCATGCATAACTCTTTAAATAATTACACTTAATTAAAAAATGTAAATGTAAGTTTTGATAAAACCATATTTAATGTTTCATATTCCTGTTTTCAGTGTTCAGTGTTTCAGCTGCTGCAACACACGAAATTTTGTCAACGTTTTCTGAAGCAGTTGTGTGTTTCCACCAAAAATGTTTTGCGCTAGTCAAGAGTTACTCGGCTAAAAAAGGTAGAACATTACTGAAAAAAGTTTGACAATGACTGATCTAAAACTATGGTGCTTTAAAGGTCTAGTGCGTGGGATTTAGTGGCATCTAGTGGTGAGATTGCAGAACTGAAACTTATCCTGAGTGCTAACCATGTAGGAGAACTACAGAGGCTGACAGGAAATGTAAATGGCCCTATATAGAGCAGGTAACAGGACGTACTCCATGGAAGAGGAACCGCTCTCCGTGTAGATATAAACAACTCATTCTAAGGTAACGAAAACACAATGACTCTTATTTTCCATTGGTCATTAACTAATGACCAATCAAAGCCCCTACATCCTACACACTGGACCTTTAATGCTGCACAACTGAAGCTATT